GCACCTCTGAGAGAACCCGGACTGTTTATTTAATCAGACGTGGGTCCAAACTCTGCTTCCCCTTCAGAGGAATCCTGGCTCTGTGAAAGAATGTGAGGCTGAATCGTGAGAGAGGGTGTGTGCAGACGTCCATCTGGACTAGGAGGAGGTGTGTGAACTGCTGGGGGAGGTCAGGAGTCCCATTCATGTCCCCGTCCCCCCAGGCACAGGGCCCCTGGTCGGGCTCCTCTTCCTGCAGAGTTAAAGCCATGCTCAGTGAACTGCTGTTACTTTACCACCTGATTTGACTTTATCACAGAAGAAACAGAGAGAGAAACACTTTCCAGGGTTTGATTAAATCCCGTCCTACTGTTCTATAACAGCAGACGTTGTAGAACGATGGCAGATTTATCGTCCAGTACATGTTTTGTTTTTTCTTTCAGAACATTGAATGCAGCATTTGTTTTTCATTAGGAAGTTTTTAGACTGAATTTGGTTTATGTTGAAGGCTAAAGAAAATCTTTTTTTTTTTCAACCAGGAAACGGAGAAAGAGAACATTGGTTGAATCACTTTAGTTTATCCTTGCATCAAATAAGATGTTTTTGTCAATGAAGACCTTGGCACCGTTTCCACTATCCTCTGAAAACAGATCCATGCCGAGCTTGGATCAGTTAACCGCGCTGAGCTTGGTTCCTTACGACCGTTAACACACAGAGCTAGCGCCTCACCTCCTGGTGACGATCTACGGTACTGCTGCCCTCTAGAGGGAAACAAGCACATCAACATGGCGGCGCCAGTAACATTCAGGAAGTTTGCGCAGAGTCAGGCGAAGAAGGCAGCCTTTGGTAAATTTACTTGACAGAGTCGGCTTTTCAGGGCTCGTACACCTTTTCCAAAGTCAAAATCAAGCACTTTTCAAGCACTTTCAAGATCCATTTTAACTTTTTCCAGCACCTTACGGACCCAGTTTTGCGCGGATGATTAATGAAATATTGCTGTATGTCATCGTTATGCTACAAAATCCCCCGAAAATTCATGAAATTTTGCCATATTTTTATATGTTGATATATTGACGTGGTATCGATCTATTTTACTAACAAAATCTCACAAGAATTTGCAAAATATCACGAGAGTTTGTAACAGAACGATGAAATTTCACGAGATTTTGAATGTGAAATAGATCGATACCGCGTATTTAAAAATCAATTTGATATCAGCATATGAAAATATATTTGAGTATATTATTTTTCAAAGTGTCAGAAATGGAGAACAAAACTGCTATTTTCAATGACTACTTATTTTTGTCCAGCTTTAACGTCAGTATCGATAGCGGTTATCGGCTACATTGAAATACCGGCATATCGGATATCAGCCAAAATCCCAATATCGTGCATCCCTACTGCACGCCAAACAGAGCCGACTCTCATAACTTGCTGTGAACACCTGCTGCCGATATACACTAATGGGGCCCATCAATGCTGTAAAACGGACGTGAAGGTGGAGAAACGGGGCATTGATGCGTTCAAGGGCCTGAAACGGGTGGGAATTTACACCCAACAAACCACCCGGTTACATAAATATAATAAAGTATTTATTCTTTCTCTGAAATAGTTTCACCTGATTACCACACGGCTGATTACCCAATGCTGCCTCTCATTTCTGCCTCTCACCTAAAACTACATGCATGCAGTGAGGACTGAGGCAATGGATAAAAATGCATCCATTAGTTTCAAAGTAATGGAAATTTTAAATCAGGGGGACATAGTTCCCCTTCCCCCAGTCCCCCCTCAGCCCATCAGTTAAAAGAAAAAGTAGTTCCCAGCTCCTGGGCATTGACCAGAATGAACTGGGTTCTGTACTTCTTCCATATTTGGGGCGGTTCTGGACGCTTCCTCTTGCAGACAGAACCTCCAGCAGCGGCGGGGTTAAAAGGAGCCGCAGCGGGATTACGCAGGATGAGACGTGACTCGGCGCTCGCGCTGTAAAGCTTTCCATGCTAACGCAGCAGAGGGTTAAACAGAACCCAGCCGTGGACAGGCGGCCGCTCAGCAGTGAGTGAGATCAGCTCTGATGTCACTGGCTGATCTAGAACAGATCTGATCTAGGATTTCCCCATCGTCATCGGGGGGGGGGCATATGGGTTGTGTTACAGAACCTCCTGGTACCTGTGGGGCGGTCAGCTATGCTATTAAAATCTTGACCTTCAAAAAGACACTGTGGTGTCCATTCCTCCCTCATGGTGTGTTCAGTGTTTACCTGTGAAACACCTTGTTTACGATCCACTCTGTGACTCATCCCATCCACTGCTGTCATGCTTGAAAGCAGCTTAGCGCTAAATCAGGAAACGATTCATCATTGCCGCTCTGACCTGAATTAAGAACCTGCTCCTGGATTATTTTCATCCTCACTGCCCAGAAGGAAAGCAAAGCTGTGAGCATTTCCTCTGATTCCTCCCCATGCTGCCACTTCCTGCCAAACCTAAAGAGTTTAACAGGAAAAAGATTATTTTTCTTTATCAAATCAAGATATATTATTGGGTCCAGTTAGGTTTGGGTTTGAGCTCCTAATCTGGACTAGAGCAGCTTCTTCAAAGCTTCATTCACAGACTTTTATTTCTTATTATCGGATCTTCAAAGAGCAAGACAATAATAATAAGATCATAATAAACTAATAAAGTCATAAGCTTTGTATCAAAATGTTAAAACATCTGGACCAACAGAAGGAAACTCAGTCAGATCTACATCCAACATCCGACCACTTCTGAGCTCAGCTTCTACAATCCTTCTGATCAGACATTGATTTTTATTTGAACATTTATTTTTTATCTATTCAGCTTGATTTATTTTTTTTGTATTTTACCTCGGAGGTTTTCGTATCTGTTGGTTCAAATACGTCTCAAACTGTTTTGGTTTCTGTGTTGATATCCTGACAGTTCGGAGGTCAAAGATGTTCACCTTGAATCTTAGCTGCTGCATTTAGGAAACATCCCTGAAATATAACATCAGAGAGTGACCCGTAAGAGTGAACGGAGAACCAGTTCAAAGTAGAGCTGCAACTAATGATTATTTGGCTAATCAACCAATCTGTCAAATTTTTTTTTTTTTATTTCATTGATTAATCGGATTGCAAAAGGTTCCTTAAAGAAGATTTTATACAGAATTAGGTGAAAAAGGTGAAACTAAATATTTTCCACTTCAGGAGTTCTGGGTGGAGCATATTAATGGACTCTTAAAGTTGTAGGGAAGTCATATTTAAATGTCAAATCATCCTGGCTTAAACATGTACCGTATATAAATCAGACCATATTGTCCAAAAATTTAAAAACTTTCTATTTAAAAAAAAATCCTGTCTTAAAATCTGTGTTTTTTTCCGTTATCTTATGCAGGCCAGTTAGTTATACGTCAGCCTGTACACCTAAATTCAGCCAACCATATATCAACGGTCATCTGTCAGTCAAATGTTTTCGGTCATAGCATCTTGATTTATATGTCGCAGCAAATATACGCAAAGGGTGGAATAAGAAAAGAGAATCGTTTACTTTCCAATTGAGTTCCGTCCCAGTGTTCACAGGGATGGACGTCTGTGTCTTCAGCAGGCGTAGAGCTAACAGAACTGGCAGCGTTGCGAGGCAAGGGCTCAAACATGTACGGCTGGAAGCCTTCTACACCAAACCAAGCTTCTGCCGCCCTGGCGTCCTCTTCCACAACATCTTCGTCCCCGCTTTCCTCCTCTAAATAAAAAACGTATGACGGAAGAGACTCATCCATGAACTTCAACACTAAACTCTCCTCCTCTTGCATGTTTCCTCTGTCCATAGCGTCGTTTCTAAGTCAGCAATTTAGTGCTACTTGGTCCCAATGGAATTTCCCATTGGGAACCTACTAGCACTAAGTTGCTAACTGGTTAGCAAGATGCTTCCAAGGAACCCGCCAAAACCAACAACTTGCTTACGAACCTTCTGCCACAAAAAACCCGCCCCCTTGATAAACGACCAATCACATTCACTTTATTCTTCATGTAAAGTCGGGCACCACTCGGGAGAATTCGGAAATGCAACGTTTGGAACAGCCGCTTCCCTACGACTTTAGATACACTGGAAAAAATCAAAATCTAGTCATTTTTTCTTTAAAAAAGTGCATTTGTTCTTGAATTGAGGAGGTAAGTGAGATACGTTGCCAACGGAATAAGACAATTTACATTTAAAATAAGAAAACACTATTGCATTGTCTTATTTCAAGTGCATTTTATCCAAATACGGTATCTAATTTTAAGAGTAAAAATACTCATTCCATTGGCAAATCCATTAATTTAAGACATTTTTGCTCATTTTTAGATAGTTTTTCCAGTGTACATAATAAGTTTTTTCTTTTCTTTTCTCAATCTTTGTGTAATTCCTGCTCTCAGTGAATCTCTTTGTCTTTTAAAGGCATATTTTTGAGTCCTGATTACTAAATTAGTTGACGATTATTTACATAATTAATTGATCTGATTGTTTCAGCGATAGTTCAAAGAAACATGAGAGTAGATAGAGAGTGATCGTCTGAGCGAGATTGAAAGAGTCGTGTTAGTGATCAGATGTTGTCTCAGTTATCTTAAAGGGGCTGACATCACAAGGTCGTCAGGGAGTGATCTAGAAAGTGATCAGATGGTGGAAATGGTGACAGGTAGGAGCTGTAAAGTAGTGATCAGAGAGTTCCCATGAGCTGGGTGAGCTGTCTGAGGATGATGACGGCTCTGTGACGAAGCGGGTAATCCCCTGAGTGACGTCCGTCTGTGAGCAGATGGAAACCTGCGGGATTAGCTCTAATAAACAGCTCAGGAAGTCCTCCCCGTCAGAGGAGGAGGAACAGACGTTTGGTTCTGTTGGTTCTGTGAGGACTCGGTTCTGCCTCTGTGTTCAGTCAGTTGTTTATGTTGGGAATGACCGTCATCCGCCTCTGCCAGTGAGTATCCCTCAGCCGCTGCCTGAGAGGATGGAGGGAAAGCTGCAGACTAACCGGTGTGTTTTTTTTCTCCTCAGCGTTCCCACCGTCCCGGTGAAAAACCTGAACGGGTCCAGTCCGATCCACCCAGCGCTGGCAGGTAAGAGCCAAGGCATCGATCGCAGAGAGGCGGCGGCGATTAGATGACGGAATCAAACGCCTGTTCTCTGTGTTCCAGGGATCACAGGGATCCTGATGAGCGCTGCGGCGCTACCCGTCTGCCTGACCCGGCCGCCCAAACTAGTGCTGCACCCCCCACCTGTCAGCAAGAGCGACATCAAACCCGTACCGGGCTTCAACCACTGCTGCAGGAAGACCACCAAGAAGCAGGTCCGCAAAGGTAACAACGCCATCCGTCTCTAGGACCCTGTAACTGTAATTATTTCTATTAATAATACTTATTATTGTTATTATTAGTTGTTTTGCATTATTATATTATATAATTATATTATTATATTATATATTATATATATAACTATTATTTCACATTTCATGTGTTGTCTATTAAAGCACTATATGTGCTGTAATCATGGGGGAGTCGACCCAATCATTGGAAAGTTGAGTGGAAGGAAAACATTTGGTCCGGCCTTCAATAGTTGTAACCATGTAACCTATATTAGCATGTGTAAAAAGCATCCAAATGTTTTTATATATTAGTGTTTTGTTATATAATTATTACTTTAATAAGTGAAATAAATAGATTTATCATCTGTTGTGTGACGTAGTGACATGTTTTAGTATTTCTGGGTGAAGCCAGTGTAGCTGCCCTCACGTTGAAGTTAAAACCATCCGAAACATACAACATACAAACTTGTGGTTAGTGCAAAGGAAAATCTAAATAACGTCGCAATATTAGTCAAAAATAATCACACTTTAGATTTTTGGCCAAACCCTTCAGCTTTACTGCCCTTTCAGGAACTTCAACAATGACTTTGTTCAGTGACCTTCAGCTTCTGCCTCCATTTTTTTTTCTCTGCCTGCAGGAAAAACTCCAGACGAGGTTGTGAAGAAGTACCTGCAGAAAGTAAAGAGTCCTCCAGAGGAGGTGAGAGCCGTTCATTATTGGTCCAAATATGTGGAAAGGATACAGAGATAACTGGTGTTCTCCTCCAGGACTGCACCATCTGCATGGAGCCGCTGGGAGGCCCGTCTGGATACAAAGGTCCGGGCGTGGGCCCCGTCTCCAAGGCGGAGTCGGTGGGGCGGCTGGCCCAGTGCGGACACCAGTACCACTTCCAGTGTCTGGTGGCGATGTACAACAACGGCAACAAGGACGGCAGGTGGGTTTACACCCGGATTGAAGCTCCTCCTCCCTTCCTGCTCGAACAGAGCAGTAATCAAAGCTTCCGTCTCAGCCTGCAGTGTCCCACCTGCAAAACCATCTACGGCGTAAAGACGGGCAACCAGCCGGCGGGGAAGATGGAGTACCACGTCATCCCTCACTCCCTCCCGGGTCATCCTGACTGCAAAACCATCCGCATCATCTACAACATCCCGCCAGGGATTCAGGTAGGCCGTGCTACAGCCTGCTCTGAGACGTCTGCTCTCAGGAGGAGCTAACGGCTAACTGCTGCTTCTTCTCCTCCAGGGACCAGAGCATCCCAACCCAGGGAAGCCCTTCACTGCCAGAGGCTTCCCCCGACACTGCTACCTCCCAGACAGCGAGAGAGGACGCAAGGTGAGGAAAAGTCTCCTCAGAGGACATGGGGTCCTTCGGTCATAGAGTAGATCCAGTGGTGGTGGCAGCATCACGCTGTGTGGATGAAGCTAAATCCAAAAATCCCCTTTATACCAAAACGCTGCCAATACGCCATTATACAGTAACCTGACTCCGCCAGATGGATTTGCTCCGCATATCCAACTGGAAACCTTCCGTTGAAGTAATTTTGGGAAGGGGCGAAAATACTGGTTAGTTGATTGGCCTATGTTGGTGATAGACGGGCCAAATAAACCAATCAGATCAACGAAGCATATGACGTACTAACAGAGCGACGGCGAATACACAAACACAAGCCAGGCTACTCTTGCTACTCTTGCCGAAACCAGTCGGGAGAAGAGCAAAAACATCTTTTCCTTTTGAGAAAAGCCTCCAGAGCAGTGTTTTGCTATTCTTTCAGTGAAGAAATACTCTGTAATTCCCATAAAACTTGCTCGATAGCCACGCTAACGCTAGTATCATCGGCTGAAGCCGCCATGTTCTTTAGACTGAACTGTCGCGCTTCTCGTTGCGTCACACCTCAACCCGCCTCAAAGCCAACGCTGATTGGACGTTCATTTGGTGAACGGCTCCAAATTTTCTTTAACAGAGAGTCTCCAGACTGATCTGCGAGTGAAAGCTTGAAAGCTCGCAAGATTAGGATGGTCTCACGAGGCTAATTATACAGTGGCTGGAAGTTAGAAACACGTTCAGCTGTCATCTGGAACACGTCAGATACGTTGATAGAGTTGGAGAAAAGTTCTTGATAAGTTACGCAGAAGTTACGCAGAAGTTACTCAGAGGTTTAGGATAAGCTAGACGCTACGACTGATGAGGAACTGATACTGAACGTATGTAAACATCAGATAACTTAGCTGTAACTTATGCCCCATGTATGAGCATACGCTGGCATACCTCAGGATATTTTGAGCATGCTCAAAACTTCCTAACGTACTCGCCGTATGTCGACGTGTGCCAGTGGGCTTCATCGTGCCCATAACTTAAACAAAAGGTAGCCATAACTTATCCAACATATGCCTGCGTTTTTGCTTGATTTTTCCGTATGGCAGGCATCCGTTGGTCTAAATTGTTGAGGTGTGACGGCGACTTAAAGAAGCTAGAGTCCAAATGAGTCCATCTGGACCTCAGCTGCAACAGAGCAATGAGGGAGAAAGAAACAACCAGCAGATCATCTGTGGAGGAAAATTAATCCTTTATTGGTGAAAAGAACAAGTGCAATAAATAGAAATTTAATTATGAAAAAAATTTCATGAGAGAACTTTTGATATTTTCTTAGATTTAAGTTTTTCAAACCTTTTTTTTTTATTACTCTTTTTAAATTTTAGTTTAATGAATTCTATTCTTTTTAAATTGTGTTTTAGCTTTCATTCTGTTTATTCTTGGGGGGCCTTTCCTCTGGAATGAGGAGCAAAGAAGCATTTCTATTGGTCCGCTGAGAGGTTGTGAAAACTTAAACCCGAAAAACAGAAATTTAGGGGCAAATTATGAAAATATGAAATCTGTCAAAAAAAAAAAATCTAAGAAGATAATGTTATAAAAAAAAAAAGATTGAGAAAACAGCTTAAATTTTTTACTGTTTCACTGGTGATTTTTTATTTTATTTCCATTTAGCCAGAATGGAATAAATTGAATTATTTGGATGAACTAAAAAAACAAAAACAAAAAACAATGAGGTTCCTCCGCTGCGGTGCACCACCAGTTTTGGTTCAGTGTTGGTTATTGACCGATAAACTGGTTGGAACTGGTTCGTTCTGCTAAAGCTTTGCTACAACCTGTCTGCAGGTTCTAAGGCTGCTCCTGGTGGCGTGGGACCGCCGGCTCATCTTCTCTGTCGGTACTTCAAGCACCACAGGAGAATCAGACACCGTCATCTGGAACGAGGTAACGTCTCCCTCTGATTCCTCTGAAATGTCCAACTGCTGATCCTAGAAACCTAAACGCAGGACGTGCTTCTTCTCTCTAAGGTCCACCATAAGACTGAGTTTGGCTCCAACCTGACGGGTCACGGCTTCCCCGACCCGGGTCACCTGGATAACGTCTTAGAGGAGCTCCGTGCTCAGGGCATCACAGAGGAAGATGCACTGGTAGAAAAGTGAAAGAGCTAAAGGAGTCGAAGAAGAGGAGGAGGCAGTGATGATGGACACATGGCCTGATGGAAAAATATCAGGAGGACTGAGGAAGACTCTTTCCCAGGACTAAGGAGGAGGAAGGCGACCTCATTCTCCAGAGAGAGGAGAGCTGTCAGTGCTGGCTTAGCCTTTCAATGCAACTTTCTCCAATGTTCGTTTTTTAAACCAGCACAGAGAGAGAGGAGGATGGGGGGGCAGAAGGAAGAGGAGGCCGTTGAAATAAAAGGTTTAGGTACTAAATAATAAGAGTGAGAATGAATGGGTACTAACATCAAGGAGAAAACAAGTTAACTTTACTGAATGAAAGGAAATAAAAAGAAGGTAAAAAGCAGCAAAAATCGAAAGGAAAGGATGGGAAGAGGATGGAGGAGGAGGAGAAAAGGGAGGAGGAGTTGGAAAAGGTCAGCAGGAGGAGTGAAGATGGTGTATGAATGTAGTTTAGGATAGCAGTAGAATTAACTTGTGGTACTTTCAGGTACTTGAGGGACCAACAGACAAGACTGGCTTTGTTCATTCCACCCTGTGGTGAGGGGCGCCCCCTGGTGGGCTCTCACATGTCCTGCAGCTCAGCCAGTGAGCTGCTGCAACAAACCAGTTTTCACTCTCATCCTCATTTTGCGTCATTTCGTTCTTTACCTCTTTGATTTGGAGGCTCCTTCTGGAGCTGAAGATTGTGAAAAAAACCTGAAGACCAGACTGCAACTTCTGGGAGCTATTGGGCCGTCTGTAGAAGATAACCTTAGATACGCAGGCACATTTATGTTCTTATCATTCTTTAGTCAAATCAGACAGGCGTCTAGATGCTCCTGTTTTTGTTTTTTTATTGAGTGCTTGGATTTAACCACACCTGACGGTGCATTCACAGCCAATAAAACCCCTCAGGGTGAACAGTGTTGGGTTAGCCGGAGACAAACTGCAGAGGTTTCTGCTGAGCCAAATGGTTCTATAAGCAACAATTATCCTGTCAGTCCTGCATTCAATGAACACAGTGTGTCAGAATTTTGACCCCTTAATAGTGGCTTTTCTGTTTTTTGAACCAAGCTTAATGAATTAAGAGTTTCTCAAATGCAACCTGTTTTTCTCCCTGACACAGCATTAAAAACATCCAGGAGATAAGAAACTTCTGACACGGTAAAGTCGATCTGTTTTCCTGTAAAGATGTCAGAAAAAAAAAGTTTTCTGGAAGTTTGACTAATATTTCTCGGGGAATGTGAATTATTCTATTATTATTTTCATCTCAGCTTAATTTTAAAAAGGTAGAAAATTATACAATTTCTCTGAGATACATTGAATGCAGCATTATCTTAGCTACAGTCTTTATTTTCCACTCTACTGCCTCTGATTGGCTGCCATATTTGGAGCTCATCCAATGAGAATGCCTGCAGATGAAGAAGTAGAAGCACTTTTTTTCCTCATATAAAGATTCCTCTCATCTGATCTGTTTGGGTCTGAGGTTCTGTTGGTGACTCGGATCTCTGCCACCGCAGCGTCTGAGATCGGGGTTTATTGGGGTTTTTATCTGGGTCTTATACCTGATGCTGATTGTCCTAATGATGGTACTCCCTCCACTCTAATGTCTTTAGTTTTTTATCAACAGTAGCTACACATTTATTTTGAATAGCATTTTATTGACATTATAGAAATGCCTTTTTTCTTATTTTGTACATTTATCTTATGTATTAATTAAACCTGGATTTATGTTACTTTTTGTTTACGAAGACAGTATTGCTGAATACGGCGTCTTTTGTTCTCTGTGTACAGAAATGAAACCTATTTGAATCTTTTCTTTGGAAAAGGAATTTCATGGTAGACTTTTATCTGCGTGACTTGTAATACGTTTTTTTTTCTAAGTAAAAATCGGAGCTGTGTGTTAATGCTCCTCTGTGAGTTTAAGGATGCTCATAGTGTCTACATATCACCTGTCCTGATGCTGGAAGCACATGTGAACAGACATCTGCTTTTAATGCTCCATTTTGTTCGACTCTTTGATTTAGGTGCTGCACACAGACTTGGAAAGGATGACGTTGTGATTTCAGCAGGTTTTCTTGCTGTTAATGGTTAGTTTTAATCACTGGGTTTCTTGCCAGATGTGACGGCTCTGTATGCAGCATCTAAGGATCGGTGTGATTCTTTATGGGATTTCTTTTTCTTTTAAACCACCTTGTTGTCTCATCCCCACTGAGGTTGCTCTGCTCAGCAGTAAGTGTGTGGGTTATTGGCCTATTGAGGCGTGGGAAGGTGGGACGAGAGACGTGACCACTGTTGCTGGTTCGAAAGCATGAAAACATGATTACATAAAAAGTGTAAATATAGCAACAAAAAAAATAATGCTGGAGTATGAATGATTAATACGAGAGAAAAAATAAAGAACGATTGGAATTTTAACCTCTGTTCTCTGTTTTTTATTTGTATTGTATTGTAAAGATGAAACAAACGCGTAGAACCAATCGCTGTCCCCTATTAAAAACATCACAGCCCGCTCTGATTTTCGTGGCCCCTTCGATAGCTCAGTTGGTAGAGCGGAGGACTGTAGTGTGTGAACTCAGAGATCCTTAGGTCGCTGGTTCGAATCCGGCTCGAAGGAGGTGAACTTTTTTTGCTTTGCCAAGTTAAGACTCGTGTCCAAGAATAAAGTTTTCTTTACACGCACATATATATATCGCTACATGATATGATGATAGCGTCCATAAGAATGACCTGCGATATGTGATTATCATTGTGCGATAATGGCGACGGAAAAATAAGAGATTCGTCAACCACTAATGCGTTTCACGATAAACTCCGATAAAATGGTCAGAAACGACCAGCGTTCCATCGCTTGCATAGGGGGAAAAAAAGTGTTCCCTGACCGGGAATCGAACCCGGGCCGCGGCGGTGAGAGCGCCGAATCCTAACCACTAGACCACCAGGGAGCTTGAGGACGTTCGCCAACGGATGTTTATTTTCCCGAAAACGTTCTAGTGGGATCACTTCTCTTCGTTTTATATATGCTTCCCAATCTCTATTTAATGTGTCCTGGTAAATTCCAGATCTTTTTCGGGATTTTGACATCTTTTTTCTCTCTACTTCTGCGTCTCTTCTTTCAACAACAACGTTGTATCAGAGCTATGTTTACGTTTGCGTAGCCGTCAATATGACCGCGACGTCCCACAATGCAACGTGGATTAATTTTCACTCTTATTCTGATGATACCCAGCTATATCTGTCTATAAATCCAGATGAAGCTAACCTATTACATAAATTACAGGCATTGCTTGAAGACATAAAACCTGGATGACTCTTAACTTTCTCCTTCTAAATGCAGACAAAACAGAAGTTATAATCTCTGGACCATAGTCTTTGAAAAATAACCTAATGATGTGATACACCATAAAGTGGGAAATTCACTTTTTTTTTTATATATAAAGAGTTGAGGAAATCTGTTTTAGAGTATAAGCCACCATTTAAACTACGTGAATGTCAATGTAATATATACACAAGGGTTTCCGTGTTAAACTGAAATTTGACCGAAACACTGTCAAAGAAGAAAAAAGGAAAAAGAGAACCAAAATGTAGACAGCATTTCACCAGGGGCTCTAGAGTGAGGAGCACTGCCCCTTCCCCCCTCATACAGAGCTTGGGGAAGAACACAGCGGTCGTCCCTTCATTCACTGAAGCTCTATGTTCACAGGCTTTGCACTCTGAGAGGAAGAGAAGTGAAGACGTCAACGAAATATCATTTGTTGCAATTGTTTCAACCCAGTTGAGACGTGTAACAATTAGCCAGTCACTTTATTTGGATGGGATTAAACTGATTTCAGATAATAAAGTAAAAAATCTTGGTGTTGTTTTTGATCAGGACCTGTCATTTAAATCCCATATCAAAGAGGTTTCTAGAATTTCCTTCTTTCATCTGTAGAATGTTGCAAAAATTTGAAATATCCTGTCCAGGGGTGATGCTGAGAAATTAGTCCATGCATTTGTTACTTCAAGGCTGGACTATTGTAATTCTTTACTATCAGGAAGTCCACAAACTGCAGTTAAAAGCCTTCAGCTGATCCAAAATGCTGCAGCCAGAGTTCTGATGAAAATTAAAAAGAGAGATCACATCTCTCCTATCCTGGCTTCTCTTCATTGGCTTCCTGTTAAATCCAGAATAGAATTTAAAATCCTCCTTCTCACATATAAAGCCTTAAATGGCCAAACTCCATCTGATATCAGAGATCTGATTGTTCCTTATGTTCCTAACAGAGCACTTTGCTCTCAATCTGCAGGTTTACTAGTGGTTCCTAGAATTTCTAAAAGTAGAATGGGAGGCAGATCTTTTAGTTATCAGGCTCCTCTCCTGTGGAGCCAACTACCAGTTTAAGTCCGTGAGGCAGACACCCTGTCTACTTTTAAGGCTAGGCTTAAAACTTTCCTTTTTAAAAAAACTTATAGTTAGGGTGGCTCAGGTTATCCTGAGCTATCTCTGTAGTTATGCTGCTATAGGCTTAGACTGCTGGAGGACATAGGGACCCCCGTTTCATCATTCTGCATCATTCTCTCTCTATTCTCCTACTCTGCAGAATCTGTTCAATCCCTAACGTTCTGCTCTCTCTACTTTTTCTCAGCGTAGCTTTGCCTTAACTGATCTTGTTTGCCTGTGACTCCATCCTGGAGAGAAATATCAGCTGTGCTGCTGCCATCAACACCTTTGTTTATAGATGCTGGAGATCGGCCTGTTTTCTAGTGTAGTCCTGTTTCTCTGACCGTGACTGGCTAGATGTGCTCTCTTCATCCTCTGACATGGGAGCTGGCTGGAGCTCGTCTGCCTGGCTGTGTGTTTCATGGATGGGGCCGCCTTTTACAGCTGCTTTTTATATCTCTGCTTCTGTCCCCTTGAACCCCAGTCGGCTTCGGCAGATGGCCGCTCACACTGAGCCTGGTTCTGCTGGAGGTTTCTTCCTGTTAAAAGGTAGTTTTTCCTCTCCACTGTCGCTACAAGCATGCTTAGTGTGAGGGATTGTATTTGAGTCAATGAGTCGATGCAATCAACTGGTTTTCTTTAGATAGAAAACTTTAAATCAATTTGACTGTATGATCTGATTAAACTGTAAAGTGCCTTGAGATGACTTGTGTTTTGAATTGGTGCTATATAAATAAACTGAATTGAATAGTACGTCCATCTTTCTCCTTAGAGCTGATATTCACAGCCAATCAAGAAATTCCATTTCCAAAAAGTGTCCTCCCTGACATTGCTTGACAACCATCATTTCCGAAAACCTTCCATCTATCTGAGGGAGCGTCACTAGTGGTCACATGGTTTCCAGTGCTTTAGAGATTAAAAGGTTGAAACTTAACAACCGATGATGGTATTATCTTTAGTTGGACTAACGCATTACCTGTAATAGCCCATCTTATTTTCGTACCGTAAGGAAATTTGAGTGCAACGGAGGTAAAATAATTTTGCCTGTCCATTTCAGCCCTATTCAGGCCTGTTGCACAAAGGCAAGAAAACCAAGCAGTTGCAGTTATAACTGGTATGGTAACATTGGTTGACTATGAGCACCAATGCTCACTCAAAGCTGCACACTTGTGCAATTGCGCACTGCTGGGGCGTTCTCGGCGCACAATAAAATCTATGCAGCGCATAAAATAAAATCCAAAATAAACTGTAAATCTATTAGACCAATACTTTTTTTTCTGTATGCTTTATAGTTACAGTAAGAGTAATAATTTTGATTACTCGTTACTAAAAAAGGTAGCGGCGTTAGTAACGCCGTTACTTTCAACGCCGTTACTCCCATCACTGGTCTTTAAAGCAGACATGGCTACGGCTTGATGCTAACATGTTTGTTAGCTGTCAGAAATCAGTCAGAATTCTGAGAAAAAAGTCAGAATTCTGAGATTAAAGTCTGAATTCTGACTTCTTCTGCTTCAACCTTATTGAAGTCAAAGTTTTATTGAGAAGTGTGTAGAGCGCACCTCCAGTCAAGTGACCGCTGGCAGCGATGCCTCGTTACTACGGGTGTAAATCACACCCATCATGACGATTCCATTTAGTATCAATTTCCTGACCCAACTGTTCGATTATTTTCGATACTCAAGAATACACCACAATTCGATTCGATTTGATTCGATTAATTTGTTGTTTTTTTGTGTGTTTTTTTTTTTACCTCACAGGCTACACAATGTTTAAAATTTGAAATATATCAATGAAAGCTGTAACATCCTTAATCATTTTATTTGAAAAAAAAAACAATATAAAGAAAAGTTGTACTCCACCTAGGCCTATTAAAACCTCATTCACTGAAAAATAATAATACCCCTGCGTAATAGATTCTGAAAGGCCTTGGAACAAGAAATAGTGCACAAAATCAGTGCAATGAGTGCAATGCAATACCTCGGCTCCAGAGTGTCGACGTCCACGCCCCCTCCGCAGACTCTCTGCTGCACCTCTCCCAAATTGTAACTGACCGCAGACAGTGCCGCAGACATGAGGTCGGCTTGTTTTGTTTTTATGACCGCAATTGCGGAAAACAACTTGTGAAGTTTGACCAGCAAGAATAGCGAGGTGTGCGAGAACGCTGGGACCCTTTTTCCACCTGGATCCCCGCTATTTTTCGCCATTATGTCCCTCCGTTGTCGGACAAACTCGCCCCAATTTCCTCATTGCCTCGGACGCATCTAGACCCACAGCGTATAGCAAAATAGGTTTAGCGCGACCGCAGCGCAGGAGTCAGAATTACACACAGGAGCATATGGATAAAAATAGACCGGAAGAAAAAAAAAATTAGTCGCTTCTCCTGCGGACGTGTCAATGCATCGCATCGTCGGCTGTTGGATCAATGTATCGATACAAAACGATTATTATTTACAGCCCTACTCGTTACGTCATCTTTGTGTGGAGCTTCACAGTAAATTGAAGTAATCTGGGTATTTAAATACATCAGAATCACGTCTCAAATAGCGGATTTTCCCCATTTACAGTTTTATTCAAAGAGAGAGAAAGAAATTTTATATTTAGGTCTACAGATATATAGATGTACCTTGGAAACCTCAGAACCATTGTTACAGGAGCCCTGCATGATATAACTGCTGTGCATCAGAGGGGCTGTTTATCATATTGCAATTTCCAAGGTCAGAGAGCAATTATTTTTATTATTTATTTGATTATTATTATTATCAATACTATCATGATGGAACAAACCATGTCAAGCATGAAATGCAGACATTAGAGGACTTGTTTAATTGTAGTTCTGAAAGCATCCAGCAGAAGTCGCATTTTTAAACTGTTCCAAATATATCAAGCATGGGGAGTTTTGGCCAATTGTGTCAAATTGGTTCATTGATTCAGAGGCTTCAGACTTGCCTTCACTAGCTGAAACCAGCACATGTCAAGGCCCATCTTAAGTTTGCCATTGATCATTTGGATGATCCAGAGGAGTCATGGGAGAAATTCATGTGGTCAGAGACCAAAAAAAAACTTTTTGGTCATAATTCCACTAACAGTGTTTGGAGGAAGAAGAACGATGAGTACCATCCCAAGAACACCTTCCCTACTGTGAAGCATGGGGGTGGTAGCATCATGCTTTGAGGGTGTTTCTGCACATGGGTGGATGGACCTGGGTCACTATAAATCTGCTGGTTGTATATCTGGTTGCCAGTGCGCAAATGAGCTGATGGTACAGATTGTGCTACCAGTAAAGTACACTTATTTATCTATTTCATCAAAATGTGTCAATGATTTTCATAACTTTTTTGCTTTTTACCTTGTCTTTCAATCTATCTTCAGCATTTAAAGATCAGTAAGATACATTTAATTAATCAGACTCTGAATGAAGACTTACAACAGTTCATCAAAGTCAAAGAGCATTTAGAAAACTGTAAGGAAGGCACTTTTAAAGGAACATCCTGTTAATAAGGAGTTACTCTGGGAGGCGGACAGCTGTGATGATCAGAGGCTCTCCGTTTGTACCATTGTTATTGTGACCCGTACCGAAGAACGGATGGAGTCTCTCTGTGAAGAAGCAGCCAGTGAAGGAGTAGATGAGAGCAGCAGCATCTACATCATAAAAGAAGACCAGACCCTCCCCGTAATCCACAAACACCCCCACCTTTTCAGGACGAGACTGAAGAGAGAAATGGACTGGAGGCTCAGACAGACCACTGTACTCCTTTCCATTCCTCACAGTTAAGGACCAGTAACCAAACTGGGGCCTGAGTCTGATGAGTCCTACCCTTTTGACCGACTCTTTGGCCACCCCTAAAGTCCAGTTAGTCTTTCCTTTCACCTGGACCTCGAAGTAGAACCTACCTGAGGAGAAACTCTGCTCCCCTAAAACGTATTTATAATATAAAAACCTCTTTAGGTCGTGTGGGAGATTCTTCTGTGGATCACAACATCTCACTTGTTTCCTGTCAGCCGACAGGACAAGTTTGGGATGCAGAGTGTCCGGATCCAGAGTCACATCCACCGCGTAGCGTTGAGCCTTCATCAGCTCGGCTCGGATCAACAGTCTGGGGATTTCTTTCTTCATCACCTCAGTGAAAAGCTGCTCCAGGTGAACGGCAGAAAGCTTGTTTTCTTCTGGTGATTCTGGTTTCTTTCCCTTTGCTTCCTCTTTCAGATGAGGGCCATATTTTACTTGGGAGGATACAATCAAGAAAAGACAAAATAAAAATATTTTAAAGGCATTACTTCTAGTTCTACAGAAGAAATCTCCTCTAACTGGCTCTCGATTCTGGCGCTGAGCTGACCGTCTGAACATGTCCAGCAGCTCAGCGATCAGAGTGTTGACCTGCAGCTCTGGTTTTGGGAAGAACATCCTTTGACAGATTGGACACTGAAAGGGGACATCAGCATGGGAGGTTTCTGTGACGCAGTTCTTACAGAAGTTGTGCCCACATGGTGTGCTGACCGGATCCGTGAAGACATTCTGACATACAAAGCACCGGAACTGGTCTTCAGATAGGAGACAGCTGGCTGTGGTCATGTCTGCAAGCTGAGACCTGAGGCAAGAAGGCAAAATGTTTAACAGCTAATGTCACATGAGTGCAGAGACACACAGGACAAGCCATGCATGGCGACACCTGAGGGCTATTTTCAGCGTCCTGAGGACCTAGTAGCCATGTTTTTAGAAGAAAACAGGAGGACAACCTGGGCATTCACAGGGAGACCAGAAAAACAGTTACAGTTGGTGCAAGGCAACAATATTAACAGCTGCAGCCTTGATAGTACAGTCAAACCCTTTGGGCTTGTTTCAGATGTTTTACTGAACCCAAAACCAAAGCAAGGCTTTCTAGAAGCATCCAGAAAAAAGTTCATTTTAACCAAGTTCCGATTTGCATCCCCTAAAGTCAGAACTCTGATTAAGAAAGTTTTGGTTCCCACATGTCTGTCTTCACTATTAAAACATGGCGAGAGCTGCTGGACCTGAACCTATAAGTTTCACATCGTTCAGCATCATTTTATTAGTCTTTTGGTATCAGCATCTATGACTAAACTAATGAGCCTGATCATTGAGCAGAAAAATAATCACTGAGCTCATTCATACTCTGCTAACTCATCTCCAAACCAGAGACAGTCAGAGTGGTATTTTCTTTGCAGAAACAGATAAACGCCCTTCATCAATACATGTGAGCACATGTTAGCTCTTTGTTTAGCCAATAACAACTGAATGCAGTTCTTCAAAACCACCCAAAAACAACAGTTTAGCGGCGTCTTGTCTATAAGCAGGGAAAACAAAAGACAAAGTCAAGCTACCTTTTATTGTGAAAGAAAACAGGATCCACACGTTTGTTAACTGGTAAAGTCATCTTTGAGGCAGAAAGGTCCACATGTTGAAACAGATCCAAAGACAGGAAGTGTGAAGCTGCTTTAGTACTCTGTTCTTCTTATATTTTTACAGAACAAACCTGCTGAAAATGCAGTAATCTGGCTACTGATTTTACTGAGAAGTTTAACATCATATCTTAGTTGTTCTATATTAAATGGTTATAAAGGCAGAACATTTAGGAACAAAGGAAGACTGTGTAGGAATCAGCCAATCAGAAGACGGGGAGCTTCAACGACGTTCATCTCTTAAAAACTTGTACAAAAAGATCTTCTACATGTAATTTATCGTCTTCTTTGTATAACACTGATGATAACATCCAGAACCACTTAGACATGTCCAGGCAGAAACAACCTTTGTGGATATCTGAAAACAACAGATAGAAATCTGAAGGAAAGTTTTGATCTGGGTGACAGAGATGTTAGATCTTTGCTCACCTTCGTTCAGCAGAGAGTGTTTGTTAGATCCTCCTGATGGTGCTGATGAGTCTGATTTTACAGGACTAAACAAAGATGTCTGAGCAACAGTAGCTGCAGAGTAGAAAAGTGAAAGTGAAAGCAGCATGTGAAGCCCTTCCTGATACCTGTGCAGCTCCACCTCCCTCTGCAGCTGGTTCCAGGTATTTACCTCCACGAGGGAACATCTCCTTAGCCTCTTACACCCTCAGGGGGTATAAATAAATTTCTGCCTGACAAAAACACACAACAGCAAATAACTTATAGCCTCACAGCTATTAGATTTAAGAAGAAACTTTTGGTACCTCTGTAAAGGTAAGATGTCATAGAATGGTTTTCTGGTGTCAGCACCATTGTAGCTTTGACCCTGCCTGAAATATTAGGGACAAAATACAAAATATTTTGCATTTTTTGAACCTCGCCAAAAGATTTTTTGAAATAAACATTGCAAAACACTACCAAAATATTATTTATAGCACAAAAAAGTAGTACAGACTTTTAAATCTAAATGTTGTGTAAAAATATACCAAATTTGGACTCAATCAGATGAATCATATTTATTTTAGAATGGTATTAGTGAGAAATTTCTTAGGCGGAGAGGCCATTTTGGCACATTTATCCATAAATGTCACCAAACTGTGCCAAATGTGTTTTTTACATCAATACTGGGGGTTTGTTAAAATTACGAGGTCACGTAGCAGCTGGACCCACCGGTGGGTCCGTAGGGTTCTAGGGGTTAGTTTCAATCATGCTTTCTCCATCACTACCTGACTGATAATACAGTAAAGTAGTAAAAACACCTGAACCTGCGATGGTGCTTTATTGATCTCCAGCTTGTGCACACCAACACCTTCTTACATTAAAAAGAACAAACAGCTTGTTATACCAAATTCAACTCAGGTGACATGAAGGAAGGAACCATGAAAAGGGATTATTAAAGGAATAGTACACCCAAAACATGATTAGCCTTCATTTTCTACTCACCCCCATGCTGAACAACACTCTGGAGTACTTTTTTGATATCTCAAATGCATCTGGAGATCTGGGAGGCTTCTTGCTGTCTACTGACATTCAAATAATGGAGGTCTATGGCGCCCGCGGCAGAAAGGTCCATAAAAGTCCACAAAAAACGTGTCAATATTCCTCCATACTGCTCGTCCAATGTATTCCAAGTGTCCTGAGTGGGTAGCGTCCATAATTTACTCGAAACAAAGTCATTTAGAATGTTTTTAGAGCATAAACAGTAGTGTATAGGATTTCCTAAAAGCGCGTTCACGACGCTACGGAAGCCGGCAGACCAAACCAGATGAAAGTGCGCATTCAGCGTCTGCTCTGCCGATAATGCAAGCGCAGAAGAAGAAATGTGCTGTTTACCTGTGCAAAGAAAGAAACAACGAAAGAAAAATGTCTGAGGACTTAAGTGTTGAGGAAGAGCATGAGTTCTTTGCCGAGCTTAATGCGCACTTTCATCTGGTTTGGTCTGCCGCGGTTTCCGTAGACTCGTGAACGCGCTTTTAGGAAATCCTATACACTACTGTTTATGCTCTAAAAACATTCTAAATGACTTCGTTTCGAGTAAATTCTGGATGCTACCCACTCAGGACACTTGGAATACATTGGACGAGCAGTATGGAGGAATATTGACACGTTTTTTGTGGACTTTTATGGACCTTTCTGCCTCGGGCACCGTAGACCTCCATTATTTGAATGTCAGCAGACAGCAAGAAGCCTCCCAGATCTCCAGATGCATTTGAGATATCAAAAAAGTACTCCAGAGTGTTGTTCAGCATGGGGATGAGTAGAAAATGAAGGCTAATCATGTTTTGGGTGTACTATTCCTTTAAGAAAAAGATGCAAAATTAATATAAATACAAAACCTACACCAAAACAATAAACTATACACCAGAAGTAATATTTATACACATGGAAATCAATACAAATAAACAAATCTAAAGTCAATCACAAAAACCCATCAAACTTAATAAAACTCATCCCAAACTACCCTTCTGATAATTTTGATTTACCTTTTCAGCCATGCCCTTCTGTGGAGCCAAACCAGGAAAAGGAAGGTACTTTCATTTAACATAAAGAGAAAATAAGGAAGAATAATTGACATTAATGTTTACACCTTCTTTCCACAGGCAGGATGGCCAATCCTTCTGCATCACAAAAAAGCATGCAAAAAATAACTGCAATAAAGAACTCAAACAACCCAACTATTTGCTCCAACTTAATATTACTTAACACAAAATCAATAATCATATTTCATGGAGTAATGGGACTCCTGGTCCCCATTACAGTGTGATTAGATAGATTAGTTACATATTCTATATTATCTTTCAGTCATTCTATATGATGAGACTGTGTAAAAAAACAACAACAGACGTTTAACATCTCATTAGTTTGGTAATACTTAGCAAATTCACAAAAATCTGGAATAAAATTCTAAAAAAATATATTTGTTTTCTATTAAGGTATTGATGTAAATAAAGAAGACAGTCTAGTAAAGACACATTTATCAAGCAAGGAAGAATTCATTATTTTATTCTTTCTTTTTTTGTCTTAATCCTCTTTTTCTTTACACCCATATTCTGCTGTAGAGCAGATCTGTGATCAGTTTTAATGACTCAATAAAAAAGAAATGTCTTTAGTCTGTTGCAGTCAGTGGCTCTCTAAAACAGGGGGCCAGTTCCTGAAACTGAGGGCCGATATCCTGCAGCTTTTAGATGTTTCCTTTCTCCAACACACCAAGAGCTTGACTAGGCATCTGGAACAGAGGCTTTGCTGCTCCAGACAATCAGCCTGAGGGTCCCAGACCTGATTTCATGTTTATATTGTTATGATCAGATTAAATAGGATACAAATTAAAATCAGGAGAGTGTGACACTTTAGCAGATTCCCAAGAGGCAAAAGATGTCTACATAATGGATCTTAAAGCTTTACTGCTCTGGATATTAATTTTCATAATAATGTTCATAATAATGTTATTTTCCCGTCCCTGTAAACTGAAACAAGTGATTCTCTATAAAGCAGTTTCCTAAAACGGCCACTTGATGTCGCTGTGGTGCCATTTGTCCCGTTGTGTAGCAGTAAGCTTCAGTTTTTCCGTCATTTTCAAACTTTTAAACTGCTTACATACTGAAATGATCGGCCTTAGCAGTGAAGTGTTTCAGATGAGCAGTTTTCTGCAGTTTAAAAAGAGAATAGAAAGCACTTTGATTTATAAAAAATCTAAAGCTCAAGTCTTTCTTTTCCATAACAGCCTGGAGCTACAGTCCCAGAATGGCAGAGGAAGCTCTGATCCAGCTGATCATCTCCTGCTCCATCCTTCCATCATTCAGGGTCGATTCACCAAGAGATACCTGCATCTCACTAAATTAGAATATAATCAAAAAAGTATTTCAGTATATCAGTTAAAAAAGTGAAGCTCAAAGTCAAATATGTTGAACTCACAGTGATTCATCTCTGTTTATTATGTTTGCAGTAAATTAAATTTACATTTTTGAGGAAATAATATTGCAGATGTTTCTTCCCCACCCTTTTTTTACACACTCTCAAATGTCAGGGGCTTTTTAAATGTCCAGGTAGCATCAGGGTGATTCTAGGGTCAGAGGTTTAAGGGTGCTGAGCACCCTGGGAGCTGCCTGAACAGGCAAGATAGGCTACATTTCAATGTTTTCTACAAACATTTTCAACACATCATATCTGAGACTTTTGTGTTTTGTCTTCCAGTGTTTTTGTCTTCTACTGTACTGAAACTTACCTGGCTTTTCCTGACCTCTCACCTTGCTCCTTTCCTTCCCCTTTTGAACCTCTCCCTCTTTGGACTTACATTCCTAAAATGGATTGTATTTAACACGGTAAATATATACAGTTGTGCTTGAAAGTTTAGGCACACTCCACACTATAAAGAAAAGCAGGGGCGTGCATACATAGACACTAGGTGGTGCTAAAGCACTAGGAAGTTTGCCCTTTATCAAAGAAAATGCCCTTTTGAAACTCGTTTTTTATTTATTTTTTTATTATTAATATTATAAAGATTTTACTGAGGTCGGTTTTGAAATGATCTTTTGAAAACCTGAGCCATTAAAAACGACTGAAACAATGCCCCGAAATGAGCCACTTCCTTGCGCACACCCGACCAGCCTATCTCTCTTCCTTTGTCACGTGAACTCGCGCGGTCACCCGCAGGGCATGCCAGATGCGCAGCATCATAGCAGTTCAGTAGCGTCTTCAGATAGCAGGAACGGTCGCTGACAGGCTGCTTCTCCCGTGCCCCATTAGCCAGGTAATATACAGATCAAGCAGAATCATTTTGTTGTGCATTAAAATGTCTCATTCAGCAGCACCAAACAAGCATTTTTGCCGACTGGTCACCAGATAAACTAGTTGTCTCCTTGTAAGATTCTATTTTACTTTTTATATTTTATATCCATATTTTTATCTTAAGTGTGTATATATTAGTCTATTTTATTGCATGACGTATACCCACAGTTTTTAGATATTTTATAATTTTATTTACCTATTCCATATTATATGTTTCATGTTGCACGATTGTACCACAAAAAATTTCTAGTTTGTGAACTCCTTCACTAACAATGGCAATAAACCTGATTCTGATTCTGAAAGTTTTACACTGTAGCCCAAGTCAGTGACAGATAACCACATACCACACCACATACCACATAGGCTACAAATAATGTTGGTAGAGTTTGCAATTGTAAATCTACGGAAGAGGATTAGGGCCACTGAAAAAAAAAATAAAAATAGGTTAACTGATTTTTACATTTTATTTCAGTTTAGTATGGGAAAAAAGTCAGAATTCTAAATTTAATCTCAGAATTCTGACTTTAATCTCATAATTCTGACTTTTTGCTGAGAATTCGGACTTTTTGCTCAGTATTCTGACTAAATTCTGACAATAAAAATGATTAAAGTCAGAATTCTGAGAAAAAAGTTAGAATTCTGACTTTTTTCCCATGTTAAACTGAAATAAAATTTAAAAATCAGTTAACTTTTTTTTTTTCAGT